CTCTTCTCAAACCTCTCCACAACTAGATCCCAAAACTCTCCTTTCTGAGGGTTATCTCCCAATGGCAAACCAAGGTAGTTTAAGGGCCAATTAGATACTACGCACTCCAAAATGTCTACACATTGAGATATCTCCACCTCCCCCAAATTAACTCCTACTATACAACTTTTCTCAAAATTCACTTTAAGGTTTGACATTTGTTCAAAGAGTTGTATAGTGAGCTTCAAGTTCCTGATCCTATTGGGGTCCCCTCCTTCACAAAACAAGATTGTGTCATTTGCAAATTGCAAGTGTGTGAGTGGTATGTTCTCCCTTCCAACTCTCCACCCCCTTATTAACTCCATGGAATCTGCTCTACAAATTAGTCGCCCCAACACCTCTGCAACTAAAGTAAATAAAAAAGGAGAGAGGGGATCTCTTTGTCTAATCCCTCTCAAAGCTGGAAAGAAATCCATCACTGTCCCATTCACCAATATAGAGTAGTGACAAGTCCTAATGCAACCCATCACCCACTTACACCAATTGTCTCCAAACCCAAAATTGATCATCACCTCCAACAGGAAAGACCAATCAACCAAGTCATAAGCCTTTTCCAAATCCAATTTGCAGACCACCCCTTTTTTCTTAGATCTCTTGAAATCCTCCAAACTCTCATTAGCTATATAAGTATTTGGTCTGTTATTTGCCTCCCCTTCACAAAAGCTCCTTGGTTATTTGCTATAATTTCTAGGAGCACTTTCCTAATCCTGATGGACAACACCTTATTGATAATCTTATAGAGGCTATTAACTAAGAAGATTAGTTTGTAGTCCTTCGGATGGTTTGCACCTTTTTTCTTGGGCACCAAGGCAATGAATGTGGAATTATGGAATTCACCAAATACCCTCATTAGATCCTCTTTTAGTACCTCCAAACAATCCTGATAGAAAGCCATTGTGAAACCATCTGGCCCTAGTGCCTTTGATCTATCCATAGAGAACACTACCTCCTTTATCTCTTCCAGGTCAAATTTCCTCTCCAGCCACTCCCTATCCTCTAACTTCAAATTTGGCCCCTCCAACCACACCCTATTATTCAGAGGTCTTCTAAATATACACCTAAAATGATCCGCAAAAGCCCCAGCAATCTCTCTTTGATTGGAAACTGTTACCCCTTCAATCTCCAGACTTGAGATAAAGTTCCTTTTCCTTCTTCCATTTGCCACAACCTAAAAAAACTTGGTGTTTCTATCCCCCTCTTTCAGCCACTTACATCTTGATTTTTGCCTCCAACTTATTTCCTCCTTGAGCAGATAATCTTCTAACTATTTGCACAATTTCCATCTTTGTTCCTTATCCTCTTCTGTAAGGCATCCCCTCTCTTCTTTGATATCCAAGACTTCAATTTGTGTAATCATAGATTGCTTCCTTTCTTCCAATCTCCCAAACTCTAAGAGGTTCCATTCCTTGATTCTATCTTTCAAATGATGGAGCTTCTTGTGAAACCTTATTTCACTCCATTCCACTATTGGATTACTCTCTACCCACCACTCTTTAACTTTCTGAAGGAAGCCCGGGTGTCCTAACCACATATTTTCAAATCTGAAAGGAGCAGGTCCTGCATTTCCCATCTCCTCCTTACAAATTACAATAAGCCAGTGGTCGGAAGTTACTCTTGGAAGTGATCTAGAGGTCAAATTCCTCCAATGTTCTTCCCAATCATTTGAAAATAAGAATCTGTCCAACTAGGAACAAACAAGATTCACTTGGAGATTGGACCAAGTAAAACAACTATGTGATAATGGAATCTCCTTAAATTCAAAAGCATCCGCAAATTGATTAAATTTCCTCATGCTCGTAGTCAACCTTTGTCTGGGACTGTTTGTTTCTTCCAAAAATCTGATTACATTGAAGTCACCGACTAAACACCATGGCCTTTCCCAAAAACCCCGTATATTAGCCAGTTCTTCCCATAACTTACTCCTCTCCCTATAGTCATTCGGCCCATAAATATTGGTTTAACACCAATTCAAGTCCATCCTCCACTTGCCTAAACTTCAAAGAAACTGAAAATTGTCCTATCAACTCCTCCAGACCTATAAGTACATCATTTTTCCACATTGTCACAATGCCCCCTACAGACCCCTAGGAAGGCAGGGAAGCCCAACTAATCCCCACATTGAGGGTTTCTATTAAGAGATTGAAAAAAGGAGCACAAGTATAGGCTCCAAAAGTTGTAAGAGTCCAAATTCTCTCATCACGCTCACTAGGATCAATGACTTCTTCTAAGATATCAAGTAAGGCAATGATCTTTGAGGTTTCATTGCCCCTTAGACCCCTTCTAAAGCCCAAATCACAAGCAAGCCCATGTTTGGATATAGAAACACAATGGGATACCACACAATCTTTGCTGAGTACAAGATTGAATGAGGGATACAAATCCTTAAAGTCTTCCCCCCAACCAAAGGTCCTTCCAAAACAAGGTTTTAGAACTAGAATGAACATAAATAAAAGATGGAACGATGGATGTGATGGCTTTCCAAGGTGACAGCTAAGAAGCTCTAGCATGAAGACTAAAGTCCCACCTATAGGAAATATGTCCAGGAATACTCCTAATTACTAGGTGCCAAAACTTGTCTAAGTCACTAGGGAATCTCTAGTGCCATTTGCCTAATAATGGATGTATCTCTAGAAGTCACTTTTCAAAAACTCAAGTGTCCTTCCTCCTTGCTCTTGTGGACTGTTGGCTCCATGGAGATACCTAACCCCTCCCTTAATTTCTATAGATTACAATTCAAACCTTATTGGTGTTTTTTAACCATCCTAAAACCACCCTAGAATCCCCTTCCACAACCAAATATTTTGAAGGCAATCAGAGGCACTTGTGGTCACTTCATTTCAGTTGACAGGAAAAACCTCTGTTGGAAGATCATCAACAACGCAAGAATTCTTGTAGAGGTCAATTATTTAAATAGGATTCGACTTGAAGTGGATTTGTTGTTTACAAGGGAGAAATATGATAAGAATTTTTGTTGAAGGGGAGGGTTTAGGAGTGGTTGCAGCTTCCTCTACTTTGAAAAAGAAATTAGTAAGAGAGTGGGATCCACCTGAGATTGGCTTTCTCAAGCTGAACTTTGATGGAAGCAGCTTTGGCAATCCGGGGCCCTCCAGTATAGGACGAGTGATAAGGAATGAAAAGGAAGAAGTTGGGTAGTATTCAGGACCACTTGGTATAGGAGACTCTACAACCACTGAATTAAAGGCTGTGATTTTTGGGGTGCAAAAAGCAATGGAGCTAGGGGTGAGGAAGCTGGTAACTGAAGGAGATTCCAAGGTAATTATTAGCTGGCTGAAACCAGAAGAGAAATTTCCTTGGCATTTCAGGAATGAGATCAAAAAGCTTAGAAGGCTTTCAAGGGAGATGCTGGTGTTCATTCATTGGAATCCAAGATCAGCTAATGGCTTTACAGATCATTTAGCTAAGCAAGGAATAAATGGGGAGCAATATTTTTGGGTTCAGTGGTAATGTAAAGAAATTAAAGCTTTTTTTTGTTTTATTGTTTAAGCTCTTTGGGGGGATTAGGAATGATGTTGGAGTTCAAGGTTGGAGACAGGGATGGACATCAAAAAGTTGATTTGGAGTGAATTGGTGATCAGAGAATTTCTAGTTCAAGTTGGGTTTTAGTGGTGAGAGTATAGGGGGCAGAGGTCATGTGGTAAGAAGGGGGCTTAAGTTGGGTTTTAATGGGCTGAAGCTTTTAAGGGGTGGCAATGTAGGATGGACTCTTTGGGTCCCAATGCTTTTCCTTTTTTTTAAGATAGAGAAAGTTAGTGGAGGGAGTATCTAAAAAAATATTTTAGTTGGCATTAAAAAGGTAGGGTCTATTTGGCAGTTTTTCATATGGAAGCTTAGTTTGTCAAGACAGGTTGTATGGGGATTTTTCAAGGATAGATAGACATGGCTTACAGGCAGTTTTAAACACGTAGGAGGGGTATCAGTGATCTACAAACTTCAAAGACCAACAAATAAAAGATTATACTTGGATAATGTTGATTCGTCTAGTGACTAGCCAATTTTTTTGGATGGTTACTTGATATCCTTAAAGTACCTGACTGTGCTTGTAGCAGCAATCTAGTTGAAGATTCTAACAAAAGATATGCCTGAAAAGTTGACAAGAAAAGGAAGCTAGAGAATGTGATATGAATGGCCTGGAAAATAACTGGTTCTCTTCTGTACTGGCAACAGAGATCAGCGGTTTTGGTGAGTGGTTAGTGGTCCCCATGAGAAAACCTGATGTTCTTTCTCTAGAGATTGTTGATATGCCAGAGAAGAAAGGCAACAAAGGGATTAATCTCATGAAGAATAACAATAGTTGTTTTTTCTTTCTTATTTTTGTTGCTATGAATACTTATTGAGAATGACAATGGTTTCGAATTAAACTATAAAGGAAGACAGCATAGATTTGAACCCTACCTTTCTTCAAAAAAAAACTTTTTTAAATTAACTAATTTCTAACATGAATAGATTTTATCATAGTATAATTTTCTTGAAATACCCTTTTACATATTTTATAAGTGTAATACAGAGTATATCTAAAAGTGTCTATGTAGCATCCAATGTTGTATCCAGCAAGTATCATGTCTGAAACTGGCAATGCTAAGTATGTACAGGCATCCGGGTATCATAGTTGAGGGAAGGGGACTTGGGGAGACTCATTATTAAATAATTATAACTGAGGTTAAAGGAAAAAAAATGAAATCTTTCTGTTGAAGAGGGCAATTCAGTGGTTTTGTTGTGTCAACTGAATGGTGTTTGAGTTAGTTTCCAGTGTTCGAAAGCAAATCAGCAATATGCTATGTAATCATGCATGGATGCAAAACACGCAAATGGGGGAAGGGAGAGATGGCACAAATGTTCCTCAAAATTCAAGGAAAAAAGGAGGATGAACAATATTTGCCACTAGCAGACAGTACCATTTTGAATCACGTAGAGGTAAAAATATAATAAATTGCAAACAATACCCTTGCTTTGCAAGCTCATGGAGAAGCAGACCATTGCCGGTTCCAATATCAAGTACATTCCAGCTAGATAAAATTTTGCCACCCTGTTCAACTGACTCAGATTTGGCACCATCAGCAAGACCTTGCAACCGACCTTGTGCTATGTCATCACATAAATTTTTGGTCCAAGATGCAACAATGTCCATGACCTCAGCTCCAAACCTAAAAGACAATGAACAGTTAAATTAATCAATTCCTATGTGAATATAAGATGTTGTACATCTCATAACTTATGTGATGACCTTGCCAAATGTCATCACATAGGCTTTTGGTCCAAGATGCAACAATGTCCATGACCTCAGCTCTAAACCTAAAAGACAATGAACAGTCAGATTAATCAATTTCTATGTGAATATAAGATGGTGTGCATCTCATAACTTATGTGATAACCTTGCAAAATGTCATCACATAGGTTTTTGGTCCAAGATGCAACAATTTCCATGAGCTTAGCTCCAAACCTAAAAGACGATGAACAGTCAGACTAGTCAATTATGATGCAGATATAAGTGTTGTGTATCTCATAACCAAGCAGAACAAGCATTTAGGAAGCAATGCTTTCAAAAATCCTGCATTTGACAATTCTAACAAATTCCCTACCGAAAAAAGAGACAATTTTGACAACTGTTTCTATTTATTTGTAGGTGGATAATGAATTAAGCACCCAAAACAGACATAACAGGTCAACAGTCAAGCTGCAGGTGAAAGCACTGACTGGAAAGAATAGTCAGAGTTATGGATGCAACCAGGATAGGCTAGCTAGATAAAGGCCAAGCCAAGCCTAATCCTAAGACTTGGGCCTAAGGCTCAGGCCTGGATCGAGCTGAAGGTCAGGACAGATCTACACAACCCAGACTCAGACCAAACTAAAATTTGACATACTCAAGCTGGGCTCAGGCCTGGGCCAATCTCACATCAGTAATCTAAATCATTAGATAGGAATATTATATATTTTGTATGTATGTATGTATGTATTTATGGCATTAGACAGAAATATTATGTATGTGTATATGTTTTTATAGTTGGGCTGGTTCAGGTTGGACAATGATCGGGCTACCCAAGGGCTAGACCCAGGCCCAATCAAAAAAATGAAAAAAAAAAAAAAGTTTTGGGCCCAAGCCCAGCCTGTCTAAAATTTCAGGATGGGTCAATCCAGGCTCGGAATTTAGTATTGTAGCTTTGGGAATGAGTAAATACCCACTCTGGACTTTGCATTTTTGAATAGAAAGAACCCCTAGTTGACAACTGATTGAACAAGAAAAGGAATATAAATTCCCAAAGAGATGCCTCACCTTGTACCAATGAATTTTTTTTGTCTCAAACCTATCAGTCAATTAACTATTTCCTATTTATAGAGTAGGGAAAGAAGATGAGGAAAAAAAATACTTTCTTAGCTTGTAGGCTAAAAGAAGTAGGTGCAAAGGATTAATTAGTTTTATGAGATCATATGCTTGTCCTGAAATTCAACTAAGAGTGCACTTTGTTTCCATATATCCCATTATCTCTTTTCAATTTTTTACTCCAGTTCTTCCAAAGTTACAACAGAAGACAATTGAAGTATCTTTTGAAACAATTTCAGTGACCACATCAGATGCTGTTCAAAGTTCACTTGAGCATTTCAACTAGCAATGCTTTTGCAAATATCATCTGCCTCTTCCATGTCAGAGGTAAATATTAAACATTATTCCTATTTCATCTACTAAGCATCGTAGCTATCAACTATGACCATGTAGTTTCCAATATACAGACTATCCACCACTGAAGATTTAGCAATTTCTTGAGTGCAAATCTATCTCATAAACTTTCAGTAATGAAAATTCAATAATTTTCAGCATGATTTTCTTGTACTGCCTTTTTCCTTTCTCGAGAGCAAGCTGGATTTTTGGACCCTGTAACAAAATCCCAAGAAGATACCTAAAAAATTTGTTATACTTAAACCTTGTATCTATTGGCATCATTCATTATAACAACAAAGGAGTAGTGAGGTAAGTATATTTATGGTTCAACTAGCCTCACCATAAAAATGATGAGATCTAAGGGTTAGAATGATGAAGGGCTAAAGATAAATCTGGGGATATTCTAATTTTGCAAATTAAATCTGTATTGTCATTTTTTATAGGGTATCAAAATTAAATAACAAGTAATGATCATAAACCTAATTCCTAAATAGACTGTCAACCTATTAACATGCTAGACATTACGGCTGGATTGAAGTCATGCACCAAAAATCACATAAGCAGAAGCAATCACAATGCAGAAACATCGCATACAATGTTCCCCTTTTTCTGCTAAGCAAAAATGATGATTCAAAGGTGTAAAGAGAAGGGAAACCCCCCATGAGAGAGCAGGAAAAATACCACACAAGAAAACAGAGAAACTTTGACTACCAGAAAATGGAGAAGAGAAGCAACTAATTAACGAAATGAATCTTTCCCTAATGAGGCTACGATTAGCACTCACCAGACTTCACCAGAGTGACCATGTTCATGAAAATTTGCCAATTCATCTGCGTACGTGGCATCCCAGTAGCTCTGCAAGCCCAACACTGATGGCTCCACTTCAGCATCTGGTTCCTCCTTGTCAGAACTGTTTCCAAATATATATTTATGGATAAGTAAATATCCACCAATTTGTAGCAAAAGTGTGCATACATGAAATTGCTCGCCTTCAAATTTAAACAACAAAACCTCATTTTACAATCAACTTTACCTTTACTGCTTAATGTTTTAACTTTTAACACGTCACATTTTCACATCCCATTGCATACATTCCATAATCTCTAGTTCTCTACAAGCTTTTTTTCTCACCGACAAAAATTAAAGAAATGTGGAGCCAAAACTCAATCCCATCCACTATTCAAGAACGGCAAACCAATTCCAATGCATTAGCCATTATACATCTAAAGACAGAACCACAAACGAGAAAGCTTGTTCATCTAATCTAAGTAATTACATTTCCTTTTCTTCAAATTCCACCAATACCTTAAAGCGAACAGGGGAAGAATAATCAAACAAAGACGAAAAAATAAATAAACATAAGCAACTGAGAGGTACCAACCTGTAATCGGATGCAGCTCGAAAGGTGGCGGTGGAGAGCGCATCAGCGGCGTCGACGTGACGCTGCTCGTCGTCCAAAGTGCTTCCGTAATCGCTCTTTATGGACCAAGAATCCGCAGCGATGGAGCGATCGTCATCAGAAATGAGGTCGGAGGTGCTCGGAACTCTCGCTTGGGAAAGCTCCGAATCATCGGGAGGCCAACGAATTCCCGCCATGATCAAGAACACACTCACACAGGGATAAACAGGAAAGCCCTAGAAGAAGTAGCAGCGGAGTATTCAACGAGGGACGTGAAAGAATGAATGTCAGCTAAACGGATACATCGATAGAAGGCCTCAAGGTCAAACAGAATGTGCATTTAGTGGGATTTTCGACGGTCATCGTCTGGTTTTTTCTCGTTTTCGCCGAGGGATGTAATTTAGCGACGCGCGCGTTGTCTCAACAAATTCTGAAATTCAGCCCATTACCTGACCAGACCTGCAGCAGCGGACCGACTGCTTGATTCTACTTCAGCGGTGAAGATGTCCGCCTTGTGCACGTACGGCGTTAGTGTTTAGTTTACTGGGGTTTTTTTTTCTTTTTTTTTTGGTAATCATAGTTTACTGGTGTTAAATCTTTCTCTTTTGGTTGTGTTTGGTTTGAGGTCCCCTACGAAACCCCCCGAACTCTTGGATTTTAACACTTCACAGCCGCTAGTTAACTTCATGCAATATTTCGTTAAACATTTTTCAAACCCCAAACTGTTAGTGTTTTAGAAAGGATTATTTACTAGAACACCACAATAGTTTTATAGATTTATTTAAACTTATCCTATAATTTGCATTTTACTAAAACACCCTTTAGGTTCAGTTTGGAAAGAATACAAATGCAAATATATAGAGTGCAAAACTTTATATTTTGTATTATTTTGTACTAGTAATTAAGAACATGCATTGCATGTGAGAAATTTTTCTTTATATTTATTACTTGAATTTTAGATATATCATAGTTAAGATAAAAATTGAAAATTAACAAAAGTAACAATATGATTAAATAAAATTAAATGCTTATAGAAAATATCAATTATTATTATTAAATTTTGTATTGCATTTTTATCATAAATAAAAGTAACTTTTATTTTAACAATTATTTTTATTTAATATGATGAATATATAACGTCAAAAATGTTCTCAAATGTTTTCGACAAATTTTTGTATATTTTCATTTTTTATGTTCTATTTTTTTAAAATATTTATTATTCAATTATGACATCATAGATTTCTTTGAAAAGTTTGATCGTTGACCCACCATCTAAATAAGAAAATAGTTTTGCTTTCGAATTAGTTTTAAATTAGGGAAAAATATAGTCGAAGTTGCCTTTACATTTAAAATTAGGCTACAAGTTGGTCTATAAATCAACAAAACTTTGACAATTGGCTCTACATTTCAAATTATAAAAACCCTTGCCATGTCATTAAAGGCTTATGTGGTTGTTGCCAACATAGGACTCTTAATTCATATTAGACACAACAAAAATCTTATACCAAAATTGCCCTTTAATGTTGGGTGATTGGAAAAATAAAAAAAGGTTTTTGGTCTCTCTCTCTCTCTCTCTCTCTCTCATGCACACACACACACACACACTAAGAGAGAAAGAGAGAGAGAGAGAGAGAGAGAGAGAGAAAGAGAGAGAGAGAGAGAGGTTTTGATTTGACTATAGACCAAAACTGAAAGAGTGGGAGAGACAGAAGGAGTGGGAGATCGAGAGATGATTGTGAGAGTGAGAGATAAGGGAGGGAGATCAAGAGAGAAATGGAGTGGGAGAGAAACTGAAAACATATTTTCGGTATAGGCTTTTTGCTATGTCCAACATGGACTAAAAGTCTCATGTTGGCAACAACCACATAAACCTTCAATGATATGGCGGGGATTTTTTATAATTTGAAATGTAGAGTCATTTGCTAGAGTTTTGTTGGTTTCTAGACCAACCTACAACCTAATTTTAAATCTACAAATGACTTTGACTATAATTTTCCCTTTAATTACATATTTCATTTACATTATATAAAATATCTTTTACTTATTGCACTTAATTTTTGTTTGTCTATGGTGTCATTTGACTCAATACACTAACCCACCATCTAAAAAGAAAAATAATTTGATTTCTAGGTTGACATTAAATTTTGTATTACATTTCCATCATTGATAAAATTGTTTCTTATGTATAAAACTTATTTTTGTTCAATATAATGAATGCACTAGTGGGGACTCGTGCAATGCACGGGATTTGTTACGTGAAAGCTAAATAATAGAAAGGGGCATTTACTAAAACACCCCTTATAGTTTCATGGATTTACTAAAATTTACCCTATAGTTTGTATTTTACTAAAACAACACTTATAATTTACWATGGATTTAATCAATCTTCCATTAGATGACAATGGAAAATGACAAGGTCGACCCTAATGTTCATTTAAATAAATTTTGTCAAAAGAAGACAAAAATAAAAATACCATTTTTCCCCTAGTAAGATACGGGCAACCACTCTATTGGCTATATTTGGTCAAGTTTGTTATACAAAAAAAGTGACAAGGGTATTTTTGAAATAAAAAATCATGGTCCTAATGACAAAGCAAACACTCCTTAATGAAAGGTCGATTAAGTAAATAAGTTGGAAAATATATGAGATATTCTGTTAAAATGAAAACTATAAGGTAGGTTTAAGTAAATATGTAAGACTCTAAGGTGTGTTCTACTAATTAACCCTAATAGAAACACATAAGAGTAGGGGGGTCAATGGACCAGTTTTGGGTTGGACTCCGTCCAAATCAAAATCCATTTGGACGGATTGGATGGACCAATAAGACATATTGAATTTGGACAGACTGGACAGACCAATATAATATATTGGATTGGACCTGGTTTGTCCATAATGAATTTATATTGGATTGAGCCAATATTTGGTCCATTGATAGAAAATAAGAACATAGGTGTCAATGGACCAAGTTTGAATTGAAACCAATCTAAATTAACAGGAATTTGAACAGATTGGACAGTCTCTGGACTGGTCCAAAATATCCATTGGACTAGATTGGACCAGGTCCATTTGTAATGGACTCACATTGGACTAAACCGGATTGGACCAAATCTAGTCCAATTGACACCCCTACATAAGAGTATAAAACTATTTTATATTTTCAAATTTATAAATAATTAATAATTATTCATATTTTATATACTACTTTTAATAAATTTTTTTATAATACAAAAATAACAATAATTAATTTCAATTAGGTTTATTCATTAAATTGATGAAATCGACCAACCCGATCAACTTGACCTGATCATATTGGATCAGTTTTTCTTTGGCCATTTGTAAATCGACCAAAATCGGATGACTTGACCACTATATATATATATTAAATATAATTTTTAATATGCAAAAGTGGGAAATTTCCCATATTTCTTAGTCTAAAATGTTTTATATTATAAATTTAATTTTTAACAATTGCACTATAGTTTTTAAAATTTAAATTTAATTTTCAAGTTTAAATCTTTTGAACCAACTGACAAAAAAAAAGGACCCAAACTAATACAACTTGAGTGGGTCGGTTTTTACAAATGGTCAGTCAGTTTCAATTGACCAGGTCAATTTGGTTGGCAAATCAACATACAACCGAACCGAACCAAATCATGAACATTCATAATTTCAAATAAATTAATAGTCTCATCTTTGACAAATAACAATATTTTAATCTCCAATAATTGTTGAAAAATTTATAGCGAAAATATACAATTATTGAAAAATATATTGATAATAAAAAAAATACAATAATTGCAAAAATACAATAAGTACTAAAAATATATTAAATTAGTCAATAAATAGTATAATCTCAAATAATAGTATAATCTCTAATAAATATTAATCAATAAGTTATATAAAAAATACAATAAGTACAATAAACAAAATTTAAAAAATTCAATAATAGTAGTTTACTCTCCAATAATTATTAAAAGTTTTTTGATAAATAACAAAACAAAAATAAATTTATACATAATTATATTGAAAATACATTTATCACAAAAAATAATAAATAATTACTGAAATACAATAAATATTAATATTATAATATATAATTATATAATAAATATATATTGGGAGTTTATAATTATTATTAATAAAAATTAATTTTTATGAAAGTTATTTTCTCAAATTATTAATTGATATAAATCAAATTAGTTACTTACAATATTATGTAAAATATTAAATTATTATTAAAGTTATTTACGGATTAATTTTGTAAAATATTAAATTATTATTATTTTCAATATTATGTTATAAGTATTTTTCTACTTTTCATATTGTTTTAAATTTATTACATAACTTCTTTATTTTAACTAATTTAAAATCTAGTTATGTTAAACATTTTGTTATTTAAAATATTTAGTTACTTAACTACTAAAATAATATGTAAGATATTTAAATTTTAAAATATTAATTATTTGTTGAATTTAATAATCCATAAAATTATAATTTATACTATTATTACATATTTTTTATAGTTAATTTTGTAAGATATTGAATTATTATTAATTTCAATATTATTCTATAATTATTTTTCTACTTTTAAGAAATTTTTTAAATTTATTACATAATTTCGTTATTTTAACTATTTAAATCTAGTTATTTAAATATTTAAATAATATATAAAATATTTAAATTTTTTTACTGAATTTAATAATCCATTAAATTATAATTTATACTATTAGTACATAATTTCATTGTTAATTTTGTAAGATATTAAATTATTATTAATTTCAATATTATGTTATTATTAATATTTTTATACTTTTATGAAAATTTTTAAATTTATTACATATTTTCGTTATTTTAACTATTTAAAATCTAGTTATGTTAAATATTTATTTAAATGTTCAAATAATATGTAAAATACTTGAATTTTTTGTTATTTGAATTTTATCTATTTAAAGCAATTACGTATTACTAAATATTTTGTTATATAGTTATTTTTATATTTATAATATTTGTTATTTATGATATTTATTTATTGAAATATTTAAATAAGATTTTATTTTTAATGTTAAGTTTTTATTATTTGAATAAAATTTAAATTGATAATCTGGAAAGCAGAATTTAAATTGTTAGTACATAATTTCAAGATATATTTTGTAAAAATATAAAACTATTTCTTTTTGTGTTTTCATTATATATATATATAGAATATTAGAGATGCACCCAATATTTTATTTTTTTTAAATATATAACATTAGATATGTGCCCAAAATTTTCTTTATCTTTTTTTTATTTTTTATTTTTGTGATTGTTGTTATTTCCTATTATTAAAAAAGTTATTATTTGACTATGGCATCATTTCATTTCTAGATAGATTTTAACATTCCATTTTCATCATTAATAAAAATACTTATTACATTTCATAGTTATTTATTTTAATTTTTTATTATTTAATTATGGCATTACTTATTAATCTATTTCACCCCAAGTGGTCG